CTAGAATATTCTTGACGGGTAATGACATTTCTGGACTATTCTATCTTATTTTACTTGTACTTATGACGACCGCAGTACACTGTAGGGCGATGAGTAATATTCCACTTCTTTTTCTATCTGTACGTTTCCTATAATAGCCGCAGGCTACTGCAGGATTCTGCGTAACAATATTTATATTATTGATAACTTCAACCTGAATTAAATCATCAACTATATTTATATAAGCAAAGGCAGTGGCGCCATTAGGACCACTGCAAAACTCATATGGTTTGGTGGGAAATAAATTAATTTATTGCGGAGTTTTCTAATTTGGATATCTAAAATCTTCTATAAATTTTCTATATTTCGGGACAAATACTAATATACCTTAAATAACAAATCAGATGGTGTGCTAATTTTATGTATAAGAATAACAGCATACTTCCATTCCAAAGTAAATTAAGCGGACATAATACACTAATTTATAATGTTGTTAATATAAGGAATATGCATTTTTGCAAAATAGATGTATTATCACTATTATTGTTCAGTCAAAAAAAAATAGGTAGGATTTTAGAACAGGAGCCTATTTCATAAAACTACTTTGCAACTTTTCACTATGCACTTTGCATATTTTAATAAATTTATGTTTCATAAAAGAGAATTTTGACGAGAAAAAAGTAAAATTCGGAAAGCAATTTGCAAAGGGAATATAAAAAATTAATAACCAGCAAAAATAACTATATAATTTTATAAAACAAAAGTATTTTACACTTATAAAGGACCCCGCACACCGCTTATGGAAAAGCGGCGACCTGTTAAATGTCATAAATTTTTGATATGTTGCAGTTCTCGACCTCCTAAGCAATAGTGTCCACGGGACCATTCAAATCATATGACAGGTTTTTGAGATACAGGGTGTTAAACTTAAAAAATACCACTTATTTGATAACGGTTATTTCAAGAGAAAGCTAATCGATTATAATTTTTTGTTTCAAATCTTATTGTAATATCCTTTGGCATTTTACGAATATAAAAAGAGGTCAAAAATTATTTTCTTTTACAGGGTGAGCCACAAATAAGTAAGGACGTGTTTTTGATAAATACATTTATTGTTCTAGAAGATAAAAATATTTACTAAAAAATAAATTATTGCTATATTTATTATGTCTGATGATAATACAAAAGATATTAGGTGCCAATTATACAAAGTGATTCGTAAATATTGACATAGGCCAATATTTTTTTTTATAAGTATTAATGTAAAACGCACTATTTTTACGGGACTTTTTTGTATTTACGATATATAAAATTATCCAATTCATTGACTACAGGGTGATTTAATAAACATATTGATAGGTAATTTATCAAATGTGTCAAAAAAACAATTTTTTTTAAGCACCCTATATTTTATTATTAGTCCTGTAAAAGTATGAATATTTTTTCAATGGCGTATCATCCGTTTTCTAGCAGATATTTTCCAAAATAACAGCTCTTTTCTATGATTGGTTTTTGAGATACAGGGTATTAAACTTAAGAAATACCACTTATTTGATAACGGTTACTTCTTGAGAAAGCTACTCGATTATAATTTTTTGTGCCAAATCTTATTGTAACATCTTTTTGCATTCTACAGATATAAAAAGAGGTAACAAATTATTTTCCTTTACAGGGTGAGCTACAAATAAGTAAGGACGTGTTTTTGATAATTACTTTTTTTGTTCTGAAAGGTAAAAATATTTCCTAAAAAATACATTATTGCTTTATTTATCATGTCTGATGATAATAAAAAAGATATTAAGTGCCATTTATACAGGGTGATTCGTAAATATCGACATGGGCCAGTATATTTTTTTATAAGTAATAATGTAAAACACAGTATGTTTACGGGACTTTTGTGTATTTATCATATGTATAATTATCCATTTCACTGACTACAGGGTGATTTGATAAATATATTGATAGTTAATTTAACGAATGTGTCAAAAAAACAATTTTTTAAGCACCTTATACTTTTTGATTAGTCCTTTAAAACTAGACATATTGTTTTCACTGGCGCGGCGTATCAATTATTCTATAAAAGATATCTTTCAAAATTATAGCTTTGTTTTGATAGGTTTTTGAAATACAGGGTATTAAACTTAAAAAATACCACATATTTGTTAACGGTTATTTCAGGAGAAGGCCAATTAATAATTTTTTGTGTCAAATCTTATTGTAACATCTCTTGGTATTCTACGAATATAAAAAGCTGTCAAAAATTATTTTCTTTTACAGGGTGATCCACAAATAAATAAGGACGTTTTTGATATTACTTTTATTATTCTAGAAGGTAAAAATATTTACTAAAAAATAAATTATTGCTATATTTATCGTGTCTAATGGTAATTAATACAAAAATATAAGGTGCCATTTCTAAAGAGTGATTCGTAAATATTGATATAGGCCAATATATTTTTTTATAAATATTATTGTGAAACGCAATATTTTTACGGGACATTTGTCTATTTACCAATTTACCATATGTATAAGTATCCAATTTATTGACTACAGGTTGATTAGATAAATATATTGATAGTTACTCTCCCAATATAAAACTGCACTTAAAACTTAGATAACTATATTAATTAAGTCACCCTGTATAAAATATAATCTAATTTCATTACCGCTGATGAAAGGAAGCATGGCCCCTCGTCAGCATTTTCATCCTGTGTATATCGTATGTATGTAACATGTTTTTCCTCATTCAATCAATAAATCTAGTAATAATTCATTTTCTTTTATAAGTATACGAGAATAATTTCACCACATAAACAATAAAAAACAATATCCCAAACATGTCATTCGATAGAACAACTATTAATATATTTAACAAATTACTCTGTAGTGAATGAAAGTGATAGTTATAAATATGTTAATAATTCAATACTTACTTGTACAATAATATAACTATTGTAGATACATACACATACCTGTCACTTAAAAATATTGCGTATCACATTATAATATATTGGTCTACGTTGATCTTTACTAGTCAATATCTATAATATGTTACTTAAAATATTTTGTTAGGTTATTAAAAACGAAAAATCTACCAATAATTAATTTTTCGGGAAATATTTTCATCCCTAAGACAGACCAATAAAAGAAATTACCAAAAACATATCTTTTTATCTTTTCTTATTTGCGACTCATTTTATGGATGAACATATTTTAACCCCTGTGTATATTGGTGGAATGCCAAAAAATTGCAATTGATTAGCTTTTTCCTGGAATAACAGGTAACAAAAAGTGGGTATTTCTTAAGTCAAATCCTGTATCTTCAAAACCTATTATATTAAAAATCTGTAATTTTTTGGAATTTATTTTCTACAAAATGGTTGATATACCAGTAAAGAACCACCTTTATAAGACTAAAAGTACAGGGTGATTTATCAAATTTTGTTGACACACTAATAATCTATCCATTTAATCACCATGTAATCAATAAATTGGATAGTTCTACATAATATGTTATTATTATAAAAAAATACACAAAAGTATCTAAAAAACTTATCAGAAAAAAGCTATAATTTAAAAAAATATCTTCTATAGGATAATTGATACGCCAGTGAAAAAAATATGTCTACTTTTAAAGGACTAATCAAAAAGTATAGGGTGCTTAAAAAAATGTTTTTTTGACACATTCGTTAAATTAACTATCAATATATTTATCAAATCACCCTGTAGACAATGAATTAGATAATTATACATACGGTAAATACACAAAAGTCCCGTAAACATACTGTGTTTTACATTAATACTTATAAAAAAATATATTGGCCCATGTCGATATTTACGAATCACCCTGTATAAATGGCACTTAATATCTTTTGTAATATCATCAGACATGATTAATAAAGCAATAATGTATTTTTTAGGAAATATTTTTACCTTTTAGAACAATAAAAGTAATTATCAAAAACACGTCCTTACTTATTTGTAGCTCACTCTGTAAAGGAAAATAATTTTTTACCCCTTTTTATATTTGTAGAATGCGAAAAGATGTTATAATAAGATTTGGCACAAAAAATTATAATCGAGTAGCTTTCTCCTGAAGTAATCGTTATCAAATAAGTGGTATTTCTTAAGTTTAACACCCTGTATCTTAAAAACCAATCATAGAAAAGAGCTGTTATTTTGGAAAACATCTGCTACAGGACGGATGATACGCCAATGAAAAAATATTCATACTTTTACAGGACTAATAAAAAAATATAGGGTGCTTAAAAAAATTGTTTTTATGACACATTTAATAAATTACCTATCAATATATTTATTAAATCACCCTGTAGTCAATGAATTGGATAATTTGATATATCGTAAATACAAAAAAGTCCCGTAAAAATACTGCGTTTCACATTAATACTTATAAAAAAAAAATATTGGCCTATGTCAATATTTACGAATCACCCTGTATAAATGGGACCTTATATCTTTTGTATTATCATCAAACATAATAAATATAGCAATAATTTATTTTTTAGTAAATATTTTCATCTTCTAGAACAATAAAAGTATTTATCAAAAACACGTCCTTACTTATTTGTAGCTCAGCCTGTAAAAGAAAATAATTTGTTACTTCTTTTTATATCTGTAGAATGCGAAAAGATGTTATAATAAGATTTGGCACAAAAAATTATAATCGAGTAGCTTTCTCCTGAAGTAACCGTTACCAAATAAGTGGTATTTCTTAAGTTTAACACCCTGTATCTCAAAAACTAGTAATAGGATTTGAATGCTCCCATGGACACTATTGCTTAGGAGGTCGAGAACTGCAACATATCAAAAATTTATGACATTTAGCAGGTCGCCACTTTTCCATAAGCGGTGTGCGGGGTCCTTTGGAAAGTACAAAGTGAAAAGTTGCAAAATAGTTTTATGAAATAAGCCCCAGCTCCAGAGTGACATAGCGAACCCTACAGACAATTAAATTTAATTAATATTAAACGATGTTAATTAGCTTTTTGTTTTTGTTTTAGAGAACTTAATGAACTGCGCAAGCCATCGAACGACAATCCCGATATCCTCAGATTTTTCAGATACATGAAGGCCGCCAAAGATGGTCAAGATGGCGTCAAGTGCGAATCACACGGCGGATGTCCATCTTTAACCACCAACAAACCTAGTCCCGCTATGGTCACTACTTTTAACGACATTAATAAATTAGTGTTGGCGCGAAAATTTCAACGATAAGAAAATTTCAACGATAACTGGAAAATCTTATCTTGACAACAAAGAGTCAGTTATTGATAAAATTTGTTATTTATTTATTTATTTATTTATTTATTTGAAAAAATGATTGAATCAGGATGGATGTTTGTTTTTTCGGGGACCCAAAACCATTTATTTCTTTAACGTTTATACGATGTTTACACGGTCACTGTTACTTGTCAGTGTCACAGATATGACAATGGTACTGTCCTTTACAGAATGCAATTAGGCATTTCAAAGACCTGTCAAAATGCTGCCTTTGAGATATGATTTGACAATCCTCTATGCCTGTTGTCTACGTTACAGTTATATAGATTGCACAAGGCGGGTCGTTGTGCGAGCGGCCATATTGCATAGTAATCAAAATTGATTTAGGTTAGGTTAAGTTTTGAATATAGCAAACAAAATATTACCTTAATTTTTACTTCAAGGCATACGTTTAGGTTTATTTTGAAAACCATGGATAATCAATCTATATAACTATCTATATCATTGCCTGGTCAAATCAACAGGCTTACAGGGTTGCAATATCATAACCCATAGGCAACCATTTTACTTGAAATGCCTAATACTTTTTTCGTTAGGAATGACATGACATTTCAAGAAGTTGTCGTACCTTTTTATATCACCCTTTGATAATATTTTATATCCAATTTACTGCATCTGTCTACTTAAAAAGTTTAAACATGGCTTTAACTGTACTACATCCATTTGTGCTATGTTAGCCCTAAAATATGATATTCAGCATACTTTACTGAGAGATTTACTAATTGAAGATATGATACATGTCTTCATATTTTCTGTATTTTCACATGAAGATGTTGACAAAGAAATTTGATAAGTTATGTCTGTGACAGTGACAGTAAGTGTAATACTTGTCCAATGTAAATGCTGTGTTTCTAAGTCTCTTAAATTTAATATCATTTTTCTCTATGTTAAACTTTGTAGACTGAGTACTTTTATTTAATTATTCCTTTCATAGATTGACAAGGGACATTTTGAATTAAACTTCTCGTTTGAGTCAATGAAATTTTCCAGTAATTGTAAATAAGATACCTACTTCAGTTTTCCTGTCTAGAATAGCCATACATATAGAGCGACAACACGGTAACGCCCTTTCTACTACCATTTCTCCTATTATCCAATTCTACACTGTTGTCAGTTGTATTTACATTTTAACTGCATGTCCTGATACTGTTTAGGTTCTGATTTGTGATATTAAATATGCTGAAACGTTAATTAAGAAATAGATAGTTTTACTCCAATTCTGGCAGTATTCCTCAAAAAACAAAGTAATTGAATAGAACTGTCCTTTGAGAGAAGTACAACTTTACAAACTATACTGGATGAATCTTATGTCAATACTTTTTTAACTTTGTGTAGAAGTAGTTAAAATTAACAGCTGTTTCAAAAAAAGTCAAAATTGGGAAACATTATTCTTTTTCAAAATGTATTCGATACGGTCCATGTATCTCAACACAAACACACTTTAACACAAACGTACTTTACGCAATTAAAATTACACAGATGACTGAACTACAATAATAGCTAGCGCGTCTTTCATACATAATAAAAACGACAAAAAGATTTAACTTAATTTTTGATACACAATTCCAGTTCCGGATTTAGATTTTTTGATTCTGTATCTTTTTTATTTTTGTTTTTGTTTTTTTTTTATTATTAGAAAAACTTTTCTTTTAACGATTTCTATACATAGGATCAACTTACGATTCAACCTGTATATTATGCTGTCTTTAGTAAGTGATGCTAATGATGAGAAGGCATCAAAAAACTGTCAAATTTATTATCATTAATTTAATAGGGATTTCACAGAGTAATAAAATTTATAAGTATGGATGATTGTTGTATTGTGTGAATTAAATATTTTTTTATTGTTTAATTTCTAAGAAATTGAAAGGAATTAAAATATAAAAATCAAAATAAATTCAACTTGAATATATGTATGTGATATTACATATTATAGTATTAGAGCTATCTAATTAAATGACTTATTTTTACCCTATTTGTGTTTTATTGATTGTTAATTTAATATAAAGATGTCATTTTTTAAATAATTGGTTTAAAATATAATGTCAAGCAAATAAGTAGTGTGGTATTTAAATATATATATTTAATAAATGCTGGTTTAATCAGCGTAGCTGCAACATAATTCGTTGGTAAATTTATTTTTCTACGATGGCTATCTAAAGTAGGCTTTTGCGCTTCGAAATCACATACTTTGATGATTTTCTTTTACTACACGGAGAATGGTCGCACTGCGCAGCTTTCTGAGTGCCTTTTAAAAGGAGATAGAAAAATCCGCCATTTTGATCTCTAATTACGTGTTGCCTACATCTTGGCGTAATATTTTTAATAGGTGCGTTTTAATCATCCGCTTCTGCTTCGGAATTGTCGGTTTTCTTGTTTTTATCTGACAGGATAAAACGACTAAACCGACAATTCCGGAAGCAGAAGCGGATGATTAAAACGCACCTGATATTTTGCTTGCAGTGTCAGTAAATATTATTTTTGGAGTCACAGTTTATTGCTAAAGAATCAGTTAGCTCACTCGGACCAGTTGAAAGTTCCAAAATAACATTCACTCCAGGGATAACAAATTCAGGATACGCGGAAGACTGCTGTTCTATTATAGGCGGTTGTCATATATTGTATTATCCGAGTTGCGCAGTGTATAAACTGGAACATTGAGATCAAAAGTGCCGACGCAGAGTGAGCGATCTGATTCTTTAGCTATAAACTGTGGCATAGGAATCAAAATGACCGCGCCCTATGTTGGGCGTGTCGTACCTCTCTCTTGCACCGTATAGTAATCAAAGTATGTGGTTCGAAATACAATAGCAAATTTGACGTGTTCCGCGAGCTGTCACTTTGTTGTTTGCCTAACTTAAATTAGATATAATATATTATTTCTTTTTATTAAATAATTTTCAGGTTATTTGCCCCCTACAACTTTAATTTTTTTTTTATTTTCTTGTCCTACATTTCAGAATAATCATTTGCGCAGCGTTCTCAAAAAATATTTAAAAACACACCTAAAAAAATATGCAATCCGATAGCCCGGGAGCAATTAAAAGGTGAACATCAGGATCTAGAATTGGACGCTTTATTCTTATTTTTCACCAGTAACCCCTGTCCTTAACGCGTTATTGCTTGAGCTAAAAATAAAATAAAAATCAAAATTTTATTACTAGGGCCAATCTTTTTACCTTTTATATTGTACTGACACTGTAACTGGAGTTTGAGCTCAAACTTAACGGTGAAAGCTATTTCATCTGTGATCCTCTCATTGTAGGTATACTGACATATAAGGTTCTTTCGTTCGTCTCACTGGTGTAGGAATGAACTACACCAAAGCACCCATACCTTTCGGTTGACACGGTATAAAATCCACTACACCTTCCTATCGACGATATGGTGTCCATTGGTAAATATTTTTTTCATCAGCTATTTAGCAGGAGTAAATTACACTCGACATGTGCATCAGGAATAAGGAGGAAGTAAACTAGGTAAATAAAGGTGGTGTAACTGGTGTAATTTACACTGGAGGATACTGCACCCACAGCGAACGAAAAAACCTATTGCAACCACTGTGTAGTTTACCATTATTTTTTACTTTCACTTCTGATGTAGAATATACTGCATAACATAGTATATTGTTTCGTTAAATAGTTACCGTAAAGCGGGGTAATTCTGGACCATTTTGGATGTACCATAAAAAGCGTCCAAGAATAAATAAGTTTCATATCGAGTTTGGATAGGTCTACATACAAGCTAATATTACCATGATAAAAATACGATCCCCTTTTATAGGGGGTCCTTGGAATTGGCAAAAATAACACAGAATATGAAATTAAACAGCACAAGGGGCTTTTTTAGATATAAAAAAATATACCCACTTGAGTATTTTTTCATTTAGGGATAAAAGAACTACTAAACAAACACAAAATATTAGTTTTATTGATTTTATTACAAAAAAAAAAATCGAGAAACAACGTAAACTTAAATTAAATTTGGTATTTTTAGCATTTTAGCATAATTCGGCACTTAACTAGGAAGTACCTGCGTAGTAAATGTAGGATATTATTGTCAATTATGATAAATTCTCATTAAATTTAAAAAATACTCTTCTTCCTGTGCCATTTATTTTTGAACTCTGGAGTATTTTTTTATGTGTTCTTCAGGAACATCGTCTATATCTTTTACATCTGGTGTTAGGAATTGTTCTGTCTTAGAGAATTTTTCTAAAAAATCTACCGTGTAGGAGCACTCTGAATTGGTTTTTGAAATTGAAACTACTTTCTCAACGAAGTAGCATGATACATTTTTTCTTTTATATTCTACCAATACCCAGTCATTTATAATCGGTTTCTTAAGTTCAATCGAAGAATTTGCAGGTGGCACGTTTTCTTTGAAGTGTATCAATCGCATATCATCATCACTGCTACTGCTATTTGGTGACTGATCCCAGGATTTCCAGAATGTTGGCAAATCATCGAAACTCTTGTGGCTATCGCCTCCTTCATCGGGTTTATATGGCACATCATATTTGTCAGAAGAAGACGATGATGGTATTGCTGATTTCTTTTTTATAACGTTTTAATTGTTTAGCAACTGTTTTTTTTTTAATCGCACTGGTTGAAGCAACAACATCATAGTGGCTGACGCACTCTCTCCAGGCTCTACTGAAACTCTCTTGCGTCTTTGTTTTTGTTGTGATGGTGCTTCTGTACTATAAAACGTATCTTTCAAAATGTCAACCACAGCAGTAGAAACAACATTATGTGTACCTTCGGCGTCTGTTGCTTCAGGTTCAGGGGGAAGTCGTTGCTTTGGCTCGGCAGGATCAAGATGAGATTTTTGGAGGCTTTACCATTTTTATCCAATTTTTGACGAAGTTTATTTAGTAGCTGCGAAAATACATCTTTTAATGTAGACATTTTACGCCCTCCTGTTTTTTTTCATTCGGTAAGTATCGCTCGTCAATACTTCTTTAGAGGGGCGTGGAATGTCACATCAAGGGGTTGCTTTAGATGAGTTGAGTTAGGGGGTAGGCAGATAAAAAATATGTTAATTTCTTGTAATACTTTCTGTGAAAAATGTGAGGATAGGTTGTCGCCAACTAAAATCTGCAATAAAAAGATGGGATTAATATTAAAATATCAAAATCTTAAATCCCTAGATTATAAACAAACCTTCCATCATTCTTTCTTAAATAAAAAACAACA